ACATGTCGTGACCCTAAAGTCTACGGTGAGTGGAATCCCCGAGATCTCTAGCTCACAATCCTGACATATTTGATCAACTCTCACCCTAACTCGTAGGGTAGAACTCACATGCAATGGCTCTTCCAAGGTCTCAACCTCTAAGCCCAAGTCTTTCACACAAGATGCAGCAATAAATGAATGTGATGCACCAGAATCAAATAACACTCTAGCCCATAAGCGAGAGATTAGAAATGTACCTTGTATCACCGACTAATCAGCTAGCTCAGTCTATGGCATCATGCCGTAGACACGCCCCTAGGTCCCTAAAGTACCGACTTATGAGCCCTGTCCTCGGCCTCGACCCATGCCCTGACCCATCTAGCCTGCTTACGGAGTCCCCGCCCATGGAGTAGTAGGGGCCTGTGTAGCACACTAGAACTGATACTGACTCTCCTGGCCCATGGTAGGGTAATGAGGAATATAATGTGTTTGTGGTTGCCCCACCAAAGTCTGGGACTGAGATGACTCATAACTCTGGGATCCCTGCCTCTGGGAACAATCCCACTTCATATGACCCGGTTGATGCCAATGGTAGCAAGTCCTTTGGCCTACCTAGTAAAAAGGTCTCTGATTTCTCCCGCCTTGGGAGGACTAACCTTGGCCTTGGCCCTGATAACCACGACCCTGTCCCTGAGGAGTAGAAGTTCTTTATCTCTTTCCCAAGCTAGAAGAAGAGGATTGGCCGTCCTTCTTCTTTTCCTTAGCACCCGACTCCCGGATGCTCCTTGTGTCATCCACCTCCCTCTCAATGGCCATGGCTGTCACGACCATCGAGTCTAAGTCTTGTACAAGAAGACCCATAATTTTACCCCGGATGGACAACTTAAGGCCACCCTCAAACTTCCTCACTTTGGCCATATCTGTGGCCACATAGTCATTGGCGAAACGGGCTAACTTTGTGAACTTAGCCACGTACTCCATCACCGTCATCGTACCTTGCTTCAAGTCTAAGAATTCTCAGGTCTTTGCATGTCTACCAGTAGCCGAAAAATACTTTCCCATAAAAAGCTCTTTAAACTCAGCCCATGTCATTTCCTCCAAGTTCTTCGAGGTCTTGACCCAATCCCACCACACTTGGGATTCTCTCTCTAGCTGAAAAGTAGCTAGTGTTACATGCCTGTGCAATGGTAGCAGCTATAGCACTAGCCTATGCAATGGTGGCAGCCGCCGCACCAATAGCCTCCACAAAGGCCTGTTAGTCAAAGGCTAGTGGTGGTTGGTTGTTATTCTGCACACCGCATTTGCCTCGGCCGCATCCTCTCCCCCTTCCTCTATTTTTCATCTACGCACATGTCAAATAGCAACAGAGCATTTACTTAGTATCCCAAGATAGGAATCAAGTATAAACTTTGAGATTTCTCTTATTGTCTCACTAGTAGAGCATATGCCACCACAAGTAGACATTTACTCCCTGAACCATCCTGTTCATTCTCTTTCCAACCCCATGGTTATATTTTTTAACCCTAGTGTTTCTCCTTCCATGTACATTTCACCATGCATAATCTTCACATAACACATAACATGTAGCATATTAAAGCACATAACATGAAATGCACAATGAATACAATGGTCTAGACCCATGCCCATCAAGCTCTAGGTAAATCGTACACCTAAGCTCTGATACCAAGTTGTAGCGCCCAAAAATCTGGGGGTCTATTGATTACCCATCAACCTGCGAAATACCCTTGGATACCGAGTAACTCTATATCGTGTCGGTATGCCCATTTACTGGGGTCCATAATTTTAACAAAATTCGGGCAGAGTCTCTTTTGTACGGGGAGCTCTACCCAAAATCTAACTTGTGCAATATGCATTCACTTGACCCATCTGAGGCCCATCTTTCTAGGTGAAAATGCTGATTATGATGAACCACCTACAAATGGTCCCCAGTCAGGGGCTAATGAAAAAACAAGAAAGTATTTTAAACTTCTAGAGGAAGTAGAAAGTGAATTGTATGCGGGGTGTAAAAATTTTACGACATTGTTGTTTATCGTTCAACTTCTACATATGAAAGTGCTTAATGGATGGATAGATAAATCTGTTACAATGTTGCTTCAGTTCTTGTTTGAGCTTTTGCCTAAGGGAGCAAAAATTCCTAATTCATACTATGAAGCCAGAAAGGTAACTGATGACTTAGGCTTTATGTATAAGACGTGGGATGCATGTCCTAACAGTTGTATGTTGTTTAGAAATGAGGATGAAGGACGTGATGAGTGTGATATATGTAACATTTCTAGATGGAAACATCAAGAAGGTAATCCTAGTATCGACACCACCAAAGGTAAACGAATAGCTGCAAAACAAGTGAAATATTTTCCTTTGAAGCCAAGACTACAAAGACTATTTATGTCATCAAAAACCTCTTCACTCATGAGATGGCATGTTGAGGGACGAACTGATGACGGTGTATTAAGGCAACCTTGCTGATTCTCTGGCATGGAAAACTTCAATTTGGAAAACCCAATGTTTGGTAGTGATAGTCAGAATGTCATGCTTGGGTTAGCAACCGATGGATTTAATCCATTTAGGTCCACGAATATTGTTCATAGCACTTGGCCCGTCATATTGATTCCGTACAACTTACCACCATGTTTGTGCATGAAACAACCATTTCTTATTCTATTAGTGTTTATTGATGGGCCTAAAGGACCTGGCAACAAGATTGATGTATATTTGCAACCATTAATTGAGGAGTTGAAGGAATTATGGGAAGATGGTATTCATACGTTTGATGCATCAAGCAATCAAATGTTTCAAATGCATGCAACATTGTTATGGACAATTAGTGAGTTCCCTGCATATGCCAACTTGTCAGGGTGGAGTACGAAGGGTCAATACGCATGTTCATCTTGTAATACGAAACCTCGGTCTTATTAGTTGAAGCATTGTAGAAAGTATTCTTATATAGGTCACCGATGGTTACCTTATGGCCACAAATTTTGAAAGATCAAAGATTCGTTTGATGGCAAACGAGAGTATGGACGCAAGCCTACTACTTTGTCTGGAACCGAGCTGTTCCTACAGTTAGAATCAGAACATATTTTGACTGAATACAAAAGGGATGATCTTATGGAAAGGAAAAACAACATAGTACATAGGGATAAAACCAGGTCTGAAAAACATGGTTGGAAGAAAAAGAGTATTTTCTTTGAGCTGCCATATTGGAAACATAATTTAATCAGGCACAACCTAGATGTGATGCATATAGAAAAGAATGTTTGTGACAATCTATTATGGACAATACTAGGAGTGGTGGGAAAATATAAGGACCATTAAAATGCACATCGTGATCTACAAGAGATGGATATTAGAAGACTGTTACATCCACAATCTAGAGGTTCTGGTAAAGAGTATTTGGCTCCTGCACAATTTGCAATGAATAAGGATGAGAAATATAATTTTTGCAAAGTTTTAAAGAATGTTAGAGTACCAGATGGATATGCATCAAATATTTCACGTCGTGTAAATGTGAATGAGTGAAGTATTTGGGGTCTTAAGAGTCACGACAATCATATTCTGATGCAACAACTTATTCCTTTGGCTATACGCAAATCATTGCCTAAGAATGTGATTCAACCCATAATTGAATTGTGTAATTTCTTTAGCAAATTATGCTCGAAAGTGAACCGTGCTTCAGATCTGGAATATGTTCAGGACCGTATCGTGCTTACACTTTGTCATCTTGAGAAAATCTTTCCACCATCCTTCTTTGATATAATGGAGCATTTACCTATGCATTTAGCTGATGAAACATTGATTGCTGGAGCAGTACAGTTTCGATGGATATATCCCATTGAAAGGTGTGTGGTACTTCCTTATGTAAAGGGTTTATCAAACTTTTTTTGTAATTTTAGTTTTATCTTAAATTTGAATTACAGTGTACTTATACTTGTTCGTCTATGTATCTTCTTACTCTGAAACAATATGTGCGTAATCGCGCTCATCCTGAGGGCTCAATAGCTAAAGGTTACTTGATGGAAGAATGCATGAGTTTTTGTGTAAGATATCTTGATGATGTGGAAACCAAGTCTAACCGACCACTGAGGAACTATGATGGTGGTGAAGTTTTAGGTCGTAGTGTGGGGGAGAGCCTTCAAATTCACCTTGATAATGTAACATGGACACAAACTCATCGATGTTCTATTCAATACCAGACTCAGTCGCACCATTCAAAAAGTAAGTTAAATATCACCCAAATTCGGGTTAAGGACATGGATAATCGTCGAAGTACTCAAAATAGTGGTGTGACCTTAAAGGCGGATACTGTCAGTTATGCTAGTCGAAAAGACAACAACCCTCGTGTGGGTGTTGTATCATACTATGGAGTCTTAAGCGACATTATCAAAATTCAGTACATGAATGATTTGAAATATGTGCTCTTTAAGTGTGATTGGATTGATAACAATGTAGGGAAGAAGGAAGATGACTTTAATTTTACATTAGTAAACTTCAAGCATTTATTGTATCAAGACGATCGGTTGACAAATGAACCTTTAATCTTAGCATCCCAAGTTGAACAAGTTTGGTATGTTGAAGACCTTTTAGAACCCGATTGGCATGTTGTTGTGAAGATGTCTCAGAGGGATTTGTTTGATATGCAATCTAATGAAGCTCAATCAGAACCTTATAACCGTCAAGAATTGGATGAAAATGTAATGCTTCATGGTGATGATGTTGGTTGGGTGAGGCAGGAAGTAGAAGGAACATGTACCTTAAATAATGTTGTTCTAGGGGATGTCCAAATGGATGCGTGTCAGCATGGTTGATGTTCTTTGATATGCATATAGAGGCATTTGTTTCATATTATTCTGAAGAAATAAGAGGTATTTTTGAAAGATTATTTTTAACTACTATTTTTCAAAGAAGGATACTAATATGTGCATGTCTTGTTTATAGATATGTCAAAGAGAAAAGGAAGTACTATGTCTGAAATATTGCGTGTGCATACATCATCTAACACTATGCATAAGCATTCACAACCCTCATCACCGGCACTATCTTCCAGGTCATTGTCACACGTACAATCTTCCCAGCCATCGTCAGATAGACAGTCAGGTATATGTATAAGATAGTTTAATATTTTAATATTAGTATGTTATATATTTGTCAACTTTTAATAATTGATGATCTTTATTTGGAATAGGCACAAGTGACACAATATCGACCAAGAGAGGTCGAGGTCTAGCTAAGGGTTCTAAGGAATGGGGAACTAGAGTGAGACTTGAGGTTGAGTTTGATTCCAAGTTTTAGCCAATAGGTAAGAATGCAAAATGGCTAAAGTCAGCGTTGGGAAATATAGTACACAATGGGCATAGAGTTCCTCTCACTTATATCGATTAGGTTTCAATACCTGTTGGTATACTTGATACAATTTGGAAAGAAGTGGAGGTATAAATTTAACTCATCAAAATTTTATTTTTCAAACCAAAAAAAGAATGATGACCTCAATTATATGCTAATTTCTTAGCACATAATTTCAAGATAACTTGACATATGCTCCTCCTGGTTATAAACCAGTCTGCTTGAAGGCATGTGGTAAGAATTGGAGAGATCAAAAACATCGAGTGAAGATAAATTTCTATGAACCCCACAAGAATGATGAGAATCTTAAATCATTAGTTCCAATTGATATTGTGCCGGAGCAATGGGCAGATTTAGTACAGTATTGGGCGAGTGATGTAGCAAAGGTATGAGAATGAATTTATATCATTGCCTATATGTGGAATATTGACTTTGACTAATGTTTAATTGTTGTTATAGGAAATATCATATCAAAATTCAAAAAAATAGAGAACTACAAGGCCCGGTTCATAGTTGTGGGCGAACACACTTCGCCGAGTTACGTAGAGAGGTAAATGATTATCAAAATTAATATATTTTGATATGTATTGTTTTGTTTACATTTGATAATGAACCCAAACTTTGATATTTGTTGAGGTTTGCAGATGGAACAAAATGATGAGAGGACTAATAAATGAGCATATACATTAAATCACGCACTAAGAATGGTGTTCCGTGTGACCATGACATGGCGCAAGTCATTGTATAANCAAAATGATGAGAGGACTAATAAATGAGCATATACATTAAATCACGCACTAAGAATGGTGTTCCGTGTGACCATGACGTGGCGCAAGTCATTGTATAACATTCTTATAATTTAGTTTTTGAGTTTTTAATAATTTTTTTAATGTTTTAAATCTATAATTATTGACTATCTCAAATTATAGGCTAAATTCGATGCGCAACTTTCTCAATATGATGAGTCAGACCGTACACCAGCTCTTCGGGATCAAATTTTTCACAAGTTGTTTGGAGAAGATGGACATGGATACTGCAAGACCTACGGTACTGGTGTGCCTCGAAGTTTAGTATACCAAAAAGACACAAGCTCATTCGATACACCAAATTCTGCTTTCATTGAGAAAATATGTCATGTTGTGTGTGAAAAATTAGAGCCGCAAATTAAAGTTGAATTTGACAAGGTTCATGCAAGGATTGGTTTGTTGGAATCACAAGCCGATAGTGTAAGTGGATCTAAGGTTAATGCCAATCAGGTGGTATATAAGAAATGTAATATTTTTATTTGATCAACTTTAAACTCTATGCATATGATATTTTAATATGTGGTACAACATGTCTTATAGGTTCCAGACACGTCTAGTGCACATCAGTTGTTGAGGGAGTCGGATGAAGAAATACCTCCATGGTCAATTGAGAAGTCGTCCATACCATCTCTATCTCCCTTGCCTTCTAATGAGGTGAAATGTATTTGAATTTTTTGTATTTGACATTTGATTAATTTGTTAGGTTTGAGTGTATTATTAAAAGTATGAATAGTAATTTTAGCTTTGAGTGTGTAGTAAATGGCTTCATAAATGGATGAAGGGTGTGTAAAGTTTCAACTTTGGGTAAAAGGACTATGTTTTTGTTTGGGGGAATTGACATATGCGAGTTTGTGAGCAATTGTGAATGCACTTTATATAATGCTTGTTGTATCATTCTTTCTAATGCATTTCACAAGGTGCCGCTAGTGAAAGACTTATCTAATGTTGTGAAAATGTTATACAGATGCACACTACTAAAATTAACAGAGGAAAGAAGGTTCTTGAAGAAGTTAGTCTACAGATATATTTATTTTGTATACCATATGACGTATTGCAATTGTTATGAATAACCATGCATTAGACATTTTAAATAGCAATTGTTGTTTTGATTGCATTGTGCATATTATTGTAGGTTGGAAGTAAAATAGGTTTGTTAAGTTCCAAAATTCCAAAATGCATAATAGCAGAGGATATTCTTGTTAGTAGAGACCCATTGGCCGAAGTGAATGGAATACACTTGGGATCAAATTTTTGGAAAGTATTTATTGAAAAGGCAATTGAGAGTAATGCATGTTTGACAAGACCTCATCAAGTAGTCAAAACAGTTGGGAATGTTGTTCAACGAAATGTTGCTTGGCCATCTATTGATGTATGTTCAACTTCTTTTAATTTTTTAATACATATTTGCATGTTTTTTCCTATGTTGTAGTGGTATTATAATAACAAAAGTTTTATTTATTTTTTCAGGTACTATTGAAATGGTAGGAGATTTGCAGAAGAGTTATGGAAGACCTTGGGATTTTTTTTTACATTTTTATTATAAGCATATGTGGATACGACATTGAACATTTTGTTTAATTTTATCTTTTTTATCTGTACTTGGGGAATTAACATTATACTTGGTAGATTTTAAACTGTTTTGTCTAATTGATGATTTGTTTATGTATATATATGAACATATTTGTACTTGGTGTTTAGATTTATATGTGAATGGAATTGTATGTGGAATTATTTGACTGTGATAAGTCTTTTTGATTTGTGTGATGTAATATACAGGGTTGAAATTGATAATATAAAAAAAAATTTTAAAAATTGACATTTTTTTTGTGGCGGCATTATTGTCGTCACAATTGTATTTTTTCAACAAATACATAACATTTGTGACGTGAAACACTTTTTGCGGCACTGCCTTACGGCTACAAAATGCCGCCGCAAAGTCGTCGCAAAAAGTATTTGTGACAGCAAATATATTTTTTGCAGCAGTTTTTTGTCGTCACAAAAAATATATATTCTTGTAGTGTCATATGTAAAGGGCTTACAATTTAAAGGCACAGAGTCTTAGTAAAAACAGTGGTGTGAAGAGATAGGTGACTAGTTCTTCGGAGTAGATAACTACAACTAAAGATAGGTACAATTAAAGACAGATGTGATCTTTGAGAGCAGTTATCGCGGTAATTACTCTCCACTTACGCTAATCTTTTTGAATCCCTTGAACTTTGGATTAAATCGAATCTATGAACTGGATTTGACTTGTCTTTTAACTGATTTGGTCTTACTCATAAATTGGGCTTGATCCTGGTGGACTTGTCCTTATCCACTATATTAGGATTATTAATCCAATTACTTTCCAGATATTTTTCTGTATTCTTCTTATGAATTCAAGTTTGCTTTATACACAAAGAAACACTAATTTCTTTATGTATCCATAATTGTTGCGCCAGTCTTCTTATTCCAAGGCAAATTGGTGCTACAAGGAGCCCATTTTTTGCTTTACGTTTCTGGAACATGAGGTAATACTTAAACGAAATCCTTTTCTTGCTGAGAGAATTTCTTTCTAGCCATGGGAAGATTGCCAGTTGCAAGATCTTGCCGAAATTTAGACGCCTGCACAGTTATAAATAATTTATCATCTTTATAGTTGTTATAGTTGTTCTTTATTTCAGCATTCTTCATGGGAACTACAGATCCTATTTGGAACAATATCATTTGTGAATCCGAACTGAAAAGTAGTCAAACTTTTCGTTCTAACGCAATTGACCACTATAACTAACTTCTCTTTGAGCACCTTTGGTTTAGAAAGGAACCTTACGGGTCAAGTTTAAGCTTCCACGTTGCCCTTTGCCATTATTCTAAGCAACAAAACTGGTGTGACAACTGATAAGACCAACTCCTTAAGTGTATGCTTCCAAAAGAGATTTTTATAGGCAAGGAATTAGAAAGACGCTTGGTATATATTATGATAGCAGCATTACAGATAGTTCTTATCTGTCTCTGAATCCCCTATCTCTATATAAAAACCATACAGTCTTGTTCCTGTTGTAAAGGCCTGGAGAGAGAGAGAGAGAGAGAGAGAGAGGCTTGAATGGCTGTGTTAAGGATATTTTCTGTGTACGTTCATCTCATTACAGTGCTTACATTTACTTTAGCTGCTGTAGCATTAGCTAGGCTGCAGCCGAGTCAACTCAGTCAAGAGGTGCCATCTGAACAAGAAGCAGACCGAGTCGTTGGACTTCCAGGGCAGCCTCCCGTGGATTTCCAGCAATATGCAGGATATGTTACAGTCAATCAGAGCCATGGAAGAGCACTGTTCTATTGGTTTTTCGAAGCGATACAAAATCCTCAAAAGAAGCCTGTACTTTTGTGGCTTAATGGAGGTAAGTCAGCTGACCCACCAAAGAGATCTATTGCATCTTCATGATTTATGGGTTTTTCTCTTTCTTCGTTCATGATCTTATTAGAATTTGAACTACCAAATTCATGTTATAATAGTCGGAGCGAAACAATTTCTTTATATACACAGAATAATGTTACTTACATTTGATGCCAAGTTTCAGGACGATGGAAGTCTATGCACTGAATCGTCTTTTTATATATTATAATATACCGACCCTCGTAAAGTTCGTAGTTTTGTTTGCTCTTTTTGTCTACATCTTCGAGGGTAGTTTGCATATGATAGGTCACAATTCCTAACTAAACCTTCAATTCAGCAACATGTAGAAGTGTTTGGTTTACACACACACACATATGGAAGTGTTTCGTTCATATATAAATTTCTTAAAATATGTACGGTTCTTTTGGGGAATTAGGTGGAGGTTCTTCTCTTCCACCCTCCTCCATCATCAACCGTATATGCTTACCACCAACAGGCAAGTCTAATCATCATTGTTGCCAACAAATGATTGTGACGTGGCTTACAATAGTTTATTTCTTTATTTCAAAACCTTCAAAAAAATTTGATATAGGAAAATATTATTTGAACTAAAAATTTGATATAATTTATTGACTTAATGATATGACTTTATTGAAATCATTAAATTAACACCAAATTTTAATATTTAATAGAGTTTATAATCAAGCCAAAGATCATAGTAAATTAAGTTAACAAATTAAACCAATAAAATTCATTTTTCATTTTCCATGTATATTAGATAAGAGAGAGTCAACACTTTAGTCAAAACTTTTCTTATTTTTACACATTCTGACTTCATAATTGTGGATGTCTTGAATTTCAACTCAGTAGTTCTTTGTTGTCATAATCATGTCGGCCCAACAATTATGACATTAAATTATATACGGATGGGAGTGGGGGATGTGGAGGTGGTTTGGGGGGCAGGTGTAGCTTTGGGTGAGAGCTCATTTTGGTCGGGTTCGTCATTATTTCATTTAAATTCCTATTGTTGAGATGTTATATAATTAATCTTAAAAAATCCCGCAAGGGCAATTATGTTTATGTGAGAGACACGTGTCATTTCCATTGCAAAATCTGTGCCAATTTAATGGAATGTCCATATAGACAGAAAATTTAAAAGAAAAATTGGACAATTGACTTGAGACAATATATAGTTGAACGGTTGAGTTGAAATTTGTACTATATTTTAGGGGCCAAATAAATAATTTAATTAAATTTCTTTCAAATTTTAAGCTCCAACTTTTGGCATATTATCCATTGAGCACAATAATAATTTTCATCAAAACCTTGAAAGAACATGTCACATATGATTACAATAAATGATATCAAGCCACACGTGTTAACTTTAAATCTCTCTCATATCAATTTCCATGAAATTGATTAAACTGAATTGATAAAATTTTGAAGCATAATACCTGCACATACAAAACTTAAGAACCAACGTAGAAATCGATTGATATTTTAGAGGTACAATTTTAAAACTGTTGATGTTTTAATAGAATTATTATTCATGCCTTTTATTTATTGTTTTAATCCGAATGTTGATGCTCGCAAATGTTGGCTAAACTCCAACCTATCTGAATGTCACCCGACTTTCTACAGCTTATGCTCTTGGAGTTTTTCTNCTCGTAAAGTTCGTAGTTTTGTTTGCTCTTTTTGTCTACATCTTCGAGGGTAGTTTGCATATGATAGGTCACAATTCCTAACTAAACCTTCAATTCAGCAACATGTAGAAGTGTTTGGTTTACACACACACACATATGGAAGTGTTTCGTTCATATATAAATTTCTTAAAATATGTACGGTTCTTTTGGGGAATTAGGTGGAGGTTCTTCTCTTCCACCCTCCTCCATCATCAACCGTATATGCTTACCACCAACAGGCAAGTCTAATCATCATTGTTGCCAACAAATGATTGTGATGTGGCTTACAATAGTTTATTTCTTTATTTCAAAACCTTCAAAAAAATTTGATATAGGAAAATATTATTTGAACTAAAAATTTGATATAATTTATTGACTTAATGATATGACTTTATTGAAATCATTAAATTAACACCAAATTTTAATATTTAATAGAGTTTATAATCAAGCCAAAGATCATAGTAAATTAAGTTAACAAATTAAACCAATAAAATTCATTTTTCATTTTCCATGTATATTAGATAAGAGAGAGTCAACACTTTAGTCAAAACTTTTCTTATTTTTACACATTCTGACTTCATAATTGTGGATGTCTTGAATTTCAACTCAGTAGTTCTTTGTTGTCATAATCATGTCGGCCCAACAATTATGACATTAAATTATATACGGATGGGAGTGGGGGATGTGGAGGTGGTTTGGGGGGCAGGTGTAGCTTTGGGTGAGAGCTCATTTTGGTCGGGTTCGTCATTATTTCATTTAAATTCCTATTGTTGAGATGTTATATAATTAATCTTAAAAAATCCCGCAAGGGCAATTATGTTTATGTGAGAGACACGTGTCATTTCCATTGCAAAATCTGTGCCAATTTAATGGAATGTCCATATAGACAGAAAATTTAAAAGAAAAATTGGACAATTGACTTGAGACAATATATAGTTGAACGGTTGAGTTGAAATTTGTACTATATTTTAGGGGCCAAATAAATAATTTAATTAAATTTCTTTCAAATTTTAAGCTCCAACTTTTGGCATATTATCCATTGAGCACAATAATAATTTTCATCAAAACCTTGAAAGAACATGTCACATATGATTACAATAAATGATATCAAGCCACACGTGTTAACTTTAAATCTCTCTCATATCAATTTCCATGAAATTGATTAAACTGAATTGATAAAATTTTGAAGCATAATACCTGCACATACAAAACTTAAGAACCAACGTAGAAATCGATTGATATTTTAGAGGTAGAATTTTAAAACTGTTGATGTTTTAATAGAATTATTATTCATGCCTTTTATTTATTGTTTTAATCCGAATGTTGATGCTCGCAAATGTTGGCTAAACTCCAACCTACCTGAATGTCACCCGACTTTCTACAGCTTATGCTCTTGGAGTTTTTCTTCTTCTTTTTTTGGGGTGCTTGCTGGCGGAATTTTACACATATCAAAGCGGTGGAAATATTGAGTTAGAGTCTTCGTTTAAACCCATTGGGACTTATCTTTATCCAGTAATTTATATAATGAGTGGGGTTATTCTCACACCACAAATATCTATCTCCACTCCATTTAATTTTTTATTATCAAATTACTACACTCACCCCTCCTATGCTCACCCCATTAATAACTAAGTCCACCACATGCTATATACACACATTTAATAAGTAAGTCCACCTTATATTTTCTCACAATTAAGATTTCATTCATTATTCCATGTCATACACTCACAAAAGTATTTTTTTCAATATGTATGTCTCTAATGAGATACAAGTTAGTATTACTTCTCGAATTAATTGTGTTTGATTTTCGTGTGTTGTGTCAATTTTCATTATTTTTGTTGTATTTTAATATTTCTATCAAGTTTAATAATGTTTAATTTAGGGTTTGTGTGTGGTGTATTTGTGTGTGTGCACGTGCATACACATTCATATTGTTTTGAAAAATGACAATAAAGTCTATTTCAATAAAAAAATTATTTCGTTTGGCCAGCTTGTATCATTTGTGAATTAAAGAGCTTGTTTTATTTTTCTGGTGACAGATTTCTTATTTTGTTTTCTTTATTTCGTCCTTTCTTGATATTTTTTTTGGGTTTTGATAGATTTGTTGTTCATGTTTAATTTTCTCACTTATCAAATAGTTGTCTATAGCATGGGGTGGACTTAGTTACTAATGGAGTGGGTATAAAAAGGGTGAATTTAGTAGTTTGACAATAAGAAATTAAATGAAGTGAGAATGGATATGTTGGGATGGGAATGGCCTCGCCCTTATATAATAGGAGACTGCATATGCTCTAGAGGAATGAGATATGTTATGAAGTTTGGATTTCTCTTGCCTAATGAACATTATTTATAAATTATATACCGATTTAGCACATTTTTGGATTGTGGCGTATCAATGTCCGATTGGACTTAAAATTCAAACACTTATAATCTTACTTATTTGAACTAGTGTGAGGTTCTAAAATAATAATTGTTTAGGCGATTGTAACGAAGTGTAAAACTACTTCTAGACTATTTTCCCCGCCTTTGGAATCAGGGAATTAAATTGGGATTAACAACAAGAAGAGTAAATGAAAAATGGAATTGTGCAAACTATTGTACTCTACATTAAACATAAAGAAAAAAATACTAAGGTAAAGGAAATTGGAAAAATAAACTAAAGGACAGGCTAGCTATGTGTATTGTCATGTGTTGATCAAGGGATCTTTCTCTGTAGCCTCACTTTCAATATTTATGTGGGATAACCTCCAATTGTCAAAACCATCTTGTTCGGCCATGACTGCAATCATGGCCACTTCCCCCCC